CCCCACCCCACATCCCCGCCGGCCCAGCCCCACCTTGCTGCATGATCTCCACGATCTGCACCACCCTGTCCATGTGCTTCCGTGCAGCGATCAGCCCCTGCAGCATCAGCATCTTGTAGTAGTTGAACATGTCGCCATCCAGGCCGCCCATGACCTGGGGGTAGGGGACAGCTGTGGGTATGAGGGGGCTCAGCGTCCAGTTGGCCAGAACACCTTCCTCCCCCGGCGCAAACACGCCAGGCCTCACTCCTTCCCGGCTCTCGGCAGCCAGGAAGCCTCCCAGGACACCCCACTGAGCCCTGACCTCCTGCCAGCTCTGTTCTGTTCGCCCGTAATTTGGGGGGAGCCCATCAGCTCCCCCTCCCATGACAGTGGGGCACCTCTCCTTCCTGACTCACGTCCACAAACTCGGTGGTCAGCTTAAAGGCTGACGTCTCAAAGCCCAGGTTTCGAGGTGAGCTCGACAGGATGAAGCCGAAGTCAATGTGGATGATGTGGCCTTCTGCGTCCAAAAGGATGTTCCCATTGTGTCTGGGGTGGGGGGGGTCAGAGAAGAGGAAGGAGCGGCAGTAAGTGACCGAGGGGGCAGCCTCAAGCTGTAACACACCGGCCACATGACACCCATCGTGTTTCCTGCTGCCTGTAACTCTGGCCCCGCCTCCCAGAGCCTAGAGCTGGCTCTGGAAAGAGGAAATCAATGTAAACTGCTAACAACGGCTGTGGGGTCTGAAATCGCTATTATTAACAATAAAATAGTTTATGATTACCTCAACTTTCCAAAAAATCATATTTCTAGCACCCAGATTCCAATCTAGTAGAAAACCCAGAAGCAAAGGAAGAAGGCTCTGAGGCCCCAGCCAGCCGTCACAGAGGCTCAGAGGGAGGCCTCGGGCCAGAACCCAGTTACCTGTGTCTTATCAGTGACTCCCACCAGCCCTGCAGACCACGGCCCCCCGCAGGGGGCAGCGGGCTGGGGAGTCTCCGTGTGAAACAGCGTGGGGGCTGCACGGGCAAGTGTTAACTGCCTGGTAAAGTCACTGCAGCGTAAAACACAAAACACCTCTCCCGCTGCAGAAGTTAGAGGGAGACGGTCCCAGGCCTCTGTGGTCCCCACACAATGGCCAGCAGGAGGGGGCACAATTAACATGCTAAGCATGTGAGGCTGGGCCCGTTCCACAGAGTCAGCAGAGGCTTTGTTAGGCTGAGAGCACGCAGTCTGAGGCCACCTTCTCTGGGGTTGGTCTCACTGGCCAAAGAAAGGGGGACAGAAGGAGGACCCAGTCCCACCTGAGTCCCTTCCCTTCTAGGAAAGTATCTTGCAAATTTAGCCACCGAGACGCAACCTGGAGAGCCAGGAAGGTTCCAGATGTCTCGGTCTGACCTCTCATTTCACAGGTGAGGGAACAGGCCCTGACAAAAGTACTTTTATGCCCAAGGCCCCAAGGCCAGGGAGGGCAGCTTCTCCTCTTCCTTAACGTCTGGAGACGGTCAGGACGCGGCCTGGTACGGGTGAGGCGGTCTGAACCCTGCCCCAGCTTGGAGCCTGGTGCTCCGCGGCCACTTCCTCCCAGGGGCTGTCTCCGCTCGGGCCTTGACTGCAGTGTTCTTTCCTGAGTTACTATGCAAGGTCTACCGGCTGCCTGGCACCCCTCCCCCACCCGATCCCTAAAGGAAAGCCCAGAGGCACCTGCTTCCCACGCCCACTTAGTACCGGGGCTCAGCTCCAGGCCCTCTGGGCCCTGGATTGAAAACCCCGACTCTTTAGGGACAGTCTGAAGCTTGTGGCCAAGTTCTTCATAAATAACCGCATTTCGCCTCAGCCCTCAAACGCAGAGCCTCCTCCAGGCTCATGTGTAGGGCTGACCAGGTGGGTGAGGGCAGGCTCTGAAAGCGCCCTGACCCTGAGTCCCGGCACGGGGACACACCTGTCCGACAGGGTTTTCGGCTGGTTTCCATGTGAAAATGTCAGGCCACAGCAGGCACTTAATAGACGCTAGATCTCTGATAAGCTGCTCTGTTGGCCAGATCTCACAGCCGCCATGTCGCCGGGAGCCCTGGAGCCCCAGCCGCTGGCCTTCTGCCTCCCCAGGGCAGCTGCCCGTGCCCCATGAGCAGCCCGCAGGAGCATTTGGGATACTGGCCCTGAGTCACTGTCTGGGTGGAATTATCTGTGTGTGACATGCTGTTCACCCCTAGGCGAAGCTGGGCCTCGTAAAGGTCATGCGATATTGGAAATGACAGGCCTGGGCAAAGCAACAGATACTTAGAAGTTCTGAAAACCCTGTGTGGGAATGGAAGGAGATTCCAGAGCTGGGAGTTTCAACTTTGTCCCGCCACATCTCATCTCCCCCTCGGCCTTCTGCGCTGTCATTAGCCCCCGCCCCCAGGCCAGGCTTCATGCTTCTCGCTTTGTCACTAAAGACCCAATTATACCCAACCCCACCCACAGTGCCACAGGGTGCACTCACTACACAGAGGCAAGATCAAACTCCTCCGCCTCACCACAAAGGCCCTGCTAATCTGGCCTCACCTTACCTGTCTGACGTCACCGCCTACGAGTCTCCTGCCAGGCAGTGAAGCCCGAGCTTGACCCACACCGAGCTGTTCCTTTGCCCGGAGCACCCTTCCCCCCCAGCCTCCTCTGTCCGTATTCTCCTTCGACCTTCGAGACTCTGCTGGCCCACGGCCTCGCTCCGCCATAAAGCCCTGTCCTTGCCCCTTACGCCCGGCGCTGGTCAGTCTGCCCCCTCCACTGAATGGCACGTGAACACGTCTGTCTCCACTTAAAACATGTTGCTTGTTTCGCCTTTTACATCTTGGCAATGGAAGGCAGTGACGAGTCGATGAAAGTGACACACGGAGGGACAGAGGGGACCCTGGAGAAAAGGCTAAGGTGAGGACAGGAATTCACCTACCTGTCCTTGACTTGCAGCAGGTAGCAGACCAAGCAGTAGCCAGCGCAGCTCTGCACGAAACTGCGCTGGGCGCTGAGGAAGGCCTCAGTGGTGTAGCTGCCATGCTCCTGCAGGAAGTAATCGAGCAAGGACAGCTGCGACTGTTTCTTCACCTGGTGGATGGACACAGCGTTGACCACTGGTTCGATCATGCCGCTGTCAGCCGAAATCACAAGGATCTTGTACGGCTTGATCCACAGGGGCACGCGCTCCTGATCCCAAATGGACTGTGAGGAGACAGAAGCACCAGGACATCGTCTTCCCCCAAACTGGCGGAGGAGGCTCAGATCCCCCTGTCCCCAACCTTGGCAGCCTTGGATTCTAGGCCATCGAGTAAAACCCACTGAGGACCAGGGAGTTTTGAAAGGAAGTCCAGGGCCTGAAAAGACACGGGAAAGTATGTGGGAAAAGGCGCCTTATGGGTACAAAGCCCAAAAAAGGCAGGAAGAGCAGGGAACCCCACGGCCACGTCACAAGCGGCGAGAATGGAGCTATTAACACAAGTTCTAAGAATAGAGAAAAGACGGAAAAGGATTTAGATTCATAAAAAAGTTCTCTAGAAAATGAAACATGTCTATAAAGAACTGAATTTAAAAGGTGGAGCTACTGGCGAGGACCGACCCAGAGGCTCGGCGGACTGACATCTCCACACATGGCAACCCACTCGCAAGGACCAGTGGGAGCTCTGACTGAAGGACAAAGCCAGGACCCTGAGATCTGCGATCAGAGCAGGTGCAGATCACCAAAGGGCCACAAGAGGCCGCTGTGGAGCTGTTCCTGCGGCTGCACTTCTGCAGGTCACTGGGGAAGGGGCCCCAGCTCGGGTCTGACCTGCATCCATCCAGCTTAGCGCTGGGCGGGAAGCGGGTCCGCAGCAGAGCTCCCTGGGGAGCACCCTGCGTGGTCACCTCAGGTGGGCTGCAGGTGGCCTGAGTTCCCCTTCGTTCTCCTTCCCTCTTCTTACCTGCAGCTGCTTCAACACCTGGAAAGCCAGCAGCTCCTGCCGGAGATCATCCCCGCACTTGACAATGACTGACAGGAGCCGCCAATTGGGGAGATGGCCATAGGGGGAGCCCTCTCTGATCCGCCTGCGAAGACAAGAGCAGTGGCGCAGAGGGTGACGCCAGGGCGAGGACACGACTTCGGGGGCCTGGGGGACGATGAGGCTGCCTCTGAGCTCTGCCGGGCTAAGGGGCCCCCGCCCACACTCACCGCACTTTCTCCTGCCAGGGCTCTTTGAGAGCGACTGCAGAGGGGTCTTCCGGGTCCCGCCTGAAGGCCGTGGGGGTGTGAGCCAGCTGCTCCGAGAGGCGCCGTCTAGCAGGAAGAAACCATCGTTCGCTTGGAGGGGCCACGCAGAGCCTCGCGGCCCTGTCTACGCCCTGTGTGCGCGGCGTTTCCCGCACTGCCTCCTTGGCTCTGGGCACCCACAGAAACCTGGCCTGAGACTCCCGCGGCCCCCACACGCGGAGGAAGCTGCTCTAATCCCGCCCTCTGGTGCGCTCATCCCTTCTGAGTCCTTTGGACATTTAGTTCCTTCTGCAGTGACCTAGCACCTTCTCCGCCTGCGCTTTCACTGCCTCGAGGTCGGTGGCCCCAGGACACGAAGAGTAAGGAGAGAGAGAAGGGAAAGACAGGCTGCCGGAGAGGAAGGGACGCAGCGATAGCGTGGTCTGGCCATACCGGATGTCCCCCGCTGCGATGAACACAGGCTCCTTGCTCTCCTGGCTGGTGATGCTGTCCACGGAGAACTGGGAGATGTTGTCACAGCTGTTGGTGTGCACTTCGGGGAGCTGGGGACAGCGGGGGTGGCCAGTCGGAAGTGCTAAGCACAGGTCTCACGTCTTTCACCCGCCTCAGGCCACCCTGTAAGTCTGCCACCTCAGGTCAGGACCATCCCTTCCTTCCTGACCGCTCCCAAAGCCTCCCCTGGTTACACGCCACCCTGACCGCTTGGACCCGCCACTGCCTAAGCACCCGCATCCGCCCTCGAGTGTGAGCTGCCTGCATCAGAAAGACCTGGAACGCCCCTAAAACACACTCCTGATCCTGAGCAGAACTGCTGGGAAGGCACCTGGAAGTCTGAACTTTCACCGAGTTCTCTGGAGACGCCCAAGGGCTCACGTCTGCAAACCACTGCCCCAACGGCCTGATGCTCCGTCTGATGCTCAGAGCTCCCCAAGGGGCGGGATGCAGTCTCCCTCAGGGTCCAGGACAGGCCCTCTCCAGCGTAGGTCCCATAGCCACTTCTCCAGTCTAAGCCACCCAACCCTACCTCCCGCCTCTCCAGAACCGTAAACTATTCCGCCGACCCCGAGGCCCACGTCAAGCGCCCGCTCCTCTCCCTCCCTCGCACCAGAGCATTTCTCAACTCCGCTCGCCACTTATAAATTTTTCTTAAACGTCCGTGTCCGATGTCCCCATCTGGCCTGCGAGCTCAAAGACAGAGTCTGTCCTTGCATAAAGTGAGCTGTGGCTGTGTCACAGCCCTGCTTGAGATCCTGACTCTGTGCCCTACGCCAGAATGAAGTCCAAGTTTCTCCCAGGGCCCCAGCCGGCCGCCCCAGCCTCCTTCTTCGCCATTTCCCACCTCGCACCACATCACAGCCAGACAAAATTTCTTTCAGTTCCTAAAACGGGCCCAGTCTTCCAGCCTTTGTACATGCTATTCCCTCCGCCTGGAACGCTCAGCCCAGCTAATTCGTATCCAGCTTCCGGCCTCGGCTGAGATATAACTTCCTCCAGGAAATCCTTTGGGGTGTGTTCAACCCCAAGTCTAGAGTTAAGTGCTGCCCCCACCATCGGGTGCTCCCATAACGCCCCGCCCTCCAGACAACCCGGACTACAGCACGCAGCTCCTGCCGGCTGGCCTGGTTCCCTCCTACTGGGTCATCAACTCCTTGCGGGCAGGGGCCAGGGCTGGCGCGAAGGCGGCCCTCCACAGACAGTTCTCGAACGAACAAATAAATGCATGGCTTATCACTCTCTGCTTTCCTAAGACAACTTTATAAGGCAGGTGCTCACCCTGCTGGGCTGAGCTCCTCCGTACATTCTGCAGGAAGATGAGCCCCACCCTGGGTCTAGTCCAGACTGGAGCATTCGGAGCTTCCCCTCTGATCCCCATTTCCGTCTACCCCCTCCATTTGGGCGCCTGCCTCAGCCTGCCCCAGGGTATGCTGTCTGGTCTCAAATGTATCGCAAGCTCCCGGGGAACAGGGGTTGTGCCCCCATGTCGCCTCCTTGGCGCCCCCTCACCTCCACCTGCAGCTCGCCTATGTCGTCCACGGACCAGGCCTCGTCATCGTTGTCATAGTTGGGCACAGTGCTGAAGCTGCCCGCCCGCTGCTCGTGGGTGATACCGCACTCGGGCAGGTTCTCCACGGACCGGGTGCTCCGGATGCGGTTCTCGGGGATCCGGGCAGGGACGCTGGTGGTGTCGAAGTTTTCACATTCGAGGACTTCCACGTAGATCAGGTAGGGAGCCTGGGGAGGTAGGCGGCGGAGTGAGGAAAGTATCTGCGACACGCTGCCGCCATTGTTCCCAGATCTGAGCAGTTCGCACAACTCTTCCTGCTGCCCACGCCGAGCGCCAACCCTCAGCCGTCAGTCCCGACACTGCAAATGCCACTGTAGGGCAGGACCCTGTCCTCTGAACACCTCTATGAAGAATTAGGTGAGAGAGGACACAAGTCTTCAAAATGTTTCAGCTGAGCTTCAGAATGCACAGGTGACGTACTTGGGCGAACCCCTTCCAAACTATCAGCTGCAACCGGGGACGCCTCCGGGAGCTCGTCCTAGACACAGGCTGGGAGAGAGCCGGGCACTGGCGCGAGCGGCGCTCCGACCATCAGCACTACTGCAAGAGAAGCCTGACCACCAGTACTGGCTCCGACCGGCAGACAGCTTCCGCTGGGTCTCCCCAGCGAGACTCGGGCTTCGCTCCGCCCTGCCCACTCCGCTCACTGAAGGGCTTAGAAAGAGGCCCCACCGCTCTCCTGCTGCTGTGCTGGGAAAGCCCACGAGGTCGGGAGGGCCTGAGGGGAGCTCCCCGAAGCACCGTGTGGATGGGCGGGGAGCTCCCCGAAGCACCGTGTGGATGGGTGGGGAGCTCCCCAAAGCACCGTGTGGATGGGTGGGGAGCTCCCCGAAGCACCGTGTGGATGGGCGGGGAGCGACTCTCTCCCGGGACATGGCTGCAGGTGAGCTGGAAAAGCCAGGCCTCTCTGGTCCAGAAACGAGGAGAGCTCCCTGAAGCACCGTGTGGATGGGTGGGGAGCTCCCCGAAGCACCGTGTGGATGGGCGGGGAGCTCCCCAAAGCACCGTGTGGATGGGTGGGGAGCTCCCCGAAGCACCGTGTGGATGGGCGGGGAGCGACTCTCTCCCGGGACATGGCTGCAGGTGAGCTGGAAAAGCCAGGCCTCTCTGGTCCAGAAAACCAAAGCCCAGAAAGGGGGGACGAGTGGGCTCTCAGAAGCACACAGCACAGAGTCGAGGGGAACACGTGCTCACGAACCACGAGGGAGTCGGATGCTGGGCGGGCAGCTCCGGGCAGACGCAAGCCCTGGACAGCCATGGAGCGGAACCTGCCTACCTTGTCCTTGGAGTTGAGGACAACGGCCTGGGTGTGAGGCACACGGACCACGTGGTGGTCAAAGCCGGCAGTGGGCAGCCAGACCCGGGCAGGGAGCTTGTGGTTGAGCAGGGAGAGCTCTGAGATCAGCCGCTGCGTCTTCTGCTCCTTGGTGGGGAGCGTGGCCAGCCGCTTGCCGATCGCCATCAGGGACTTGATGAATTCCCGCTCAGGAGCCAGTCTGACAGGCTGCAGAGGGTTGGGGTGTAGTGGAAGACGGTGGAGAAACCACAGGAAGAAGTGGCCCACCCACTCTGTCACCCCTGGCCAAGTGAGCCAGGGAGCCCAGCACCCAGAGAACTCCAGGGGAGTGGCTGCCGCTCAGCCCCACGTCCCACCCCACTCCCTCGACTTGAGTCGGGAGCAGGGCGAAGAGCCAGCACAGCCCTTCTCCACGGGCTGCTTCCTGAGGGTACGGGGCGGGGGGAGCCCAGGTCACTGGGATGCGCCCCTCTTCTCTCGGACGTCCTCGGGAACCGTCCCAAGGCTTCAAGATGGCGGGGGGACGGGACAACTCCCAGAAGTTACCCAGGGCCGCTTACGCTGAGCGCGTTTCGAGACCGGGAGGCCCCCTGGGCTGGGGCTCTGCCGGGGCCCCCAAGGCGAGGCGGGAGAGTGCAGTCAGCATCTCCTTTCCAAGGGGGACGTGCTCCACTCGAACGCCGGTGGTGTTTTCCACGCATCCCCCTCCACCCCACACCTCTCACGAGGTCGCCGCGCATGCAGGGACGGGGGAGGACGAGCAGACCTGGCACTGACGAGGACAATCAACGGGCAAGACAAGGCAGGTGCAGGCGGCAGGCGCGGGCCCGAGGGCGGGGGAAGCAGTAGCTGCTTCGGCCCTTGACGATGACCCTGAAGGCCTGTCTCTGTCAGCGATTCCCCCGGGTCCTCTTCCCCAGGAGTAGGGTCCCCGCATTTGCTCCCTGCTGTGAGCTGGGCTCCACATGCGGGCAGTTCAGGTGCCCCCCGCAAAGGATAAAGTCAGTCTGGGGTGTGTGGGGGATGGATACAGCTAGACATGAAGAGGGGCTCTTTCCCCGGTCCACGTTGGTCTACCGGAAGGGGCATTTATCAGGACGGCCACCCAGCGCCCAGTCCCACCTCCCCTCGGCCAGATAAGGACGTCTCCTCCTCACATAGAAACAGTATCTCACTCACCAGGCTTTTCTCTCCCTCTCTGTGTATTTTGCTTAGTTTCCTGATTGAGAATTTTTACCCTCACTCCCTCACACTGCAAAAAAGAGCTTCTTTTGCAAGCTGGGCAGTACCAGACCTATCTCTGCAGGTGTGCAGAGCCAGGTTCGCCTCTCAGCCTCTGCCCCACGGGGGCTGGCTTGGGGCCCCACACAACAATGAACCAGGGTGTCTGAATCAGTCACGAATGCTTTAGGAGGCAGGCTTGAAAAGAGATACAGGAGGACAATAGAACTAGGCTTCTGTGGTCCCTGGAAATATCCCAGAGGCCTAACAGGATTCATCCTGATCCCCTAATCCATCCACTCAGGTGGCAAATGGTCACTGTCTCAAAGACCCTCCACCCCAACCAATTCATAGTCATCTCAGATTAGAAAAGGCAGAATTCCGTCCCATCAAATCAGTGTTTGGGGCGGGGGCCCCTAAGTTACGAGAGCATGTTGGAAATGTGACCCCAGGCCTCAAGAGACAGGCCCTGCCACGTGGGAGGAGATGGGAACCATGATTGAAAGGGGGTCAGCGCAGAACAGAGAAAATGGATTGGATAGACAAATCAAAATAAAATGTAGAGGGACCAGCATTTCCTCTCACGTCTCTGCCCAGCACCAGAGTCCGAGACCCCGTGGGATCGGAGGGTCAGGGGTTCGTCCAGCGGGAACAAGAAAGGAGTGACAACTAAGGCACAGCCTGGGCAGGAAGCTGGGAAAGGGAAGACCTCAGACCCAGAAGAAATGTGGCCGAAGTTAAAAAAAAAAACCAGCTGTGGGGAGATAGAAGTTGCCTTCAGGCCAAATCCTCCTTGGTTCTGGGATCAGCTGGCCCAGCACTTAGAAGGCACTGAGTAAATATTTGATGGTCTGATGGCAGAGGCCGTGGGGAAAGGGTTCTCAGCTCCAGTCCAGGGGTGAATTCTACCTCTCTCCCAGCTGTTTGTTCTAGAGCCCCAGGACCTGGGGGCTGTCACACTGTGGTCGCCACTGAGCCTGGGCTCTGGGCATTGGTGACAGGGCAGGGGACTCCTTCAGGTCTGGGAGGCCTTGGGAGGGAGGGGCTGATGTCCCAGGAAGAAAGGCACCTTTGAAAGCCAGCCTTGGCCTAGGGGCTCAGAAGATCTGGGGACGGAGAGGAAATGCAGCCATGGGGGGAGCCTGCCACCCAGCCCAGCCTGTCCCCACTTACGGAACTGAATGAATTATCAATACTCTCGGTGCTGGAGGAGAACTCCTGGGAAAGGCCGGGGGGTGGGGGGTGGGGGAGGAGAGACAAAGGCAAAGATTTAGCTCCGACCTGGACCGCACCGCGTCTCCGGTGCAGCTCTACCCTCCTGCTTCACCGAAAGGAAGTCGACCCAGAAACGCCCTTGCCCAGCTTCTTGACAGTGGGGGACCGGCAGGCTGGCTAGACCTGAGGTCGGAAAGGCTAAAGGGACAGCGGCCTCTGCTCTCCACTCCTTCCCTTCTGTTCTGCCTGCGTCTTCCTTCTGGGTCTAAACCCCAAAGCTGGTCACTTAGGGAGGTGACTGCACTGCCAAACGTCCCTGCTTTCCCTTTACCTACTCACGTGCTCTCGACTGAACCCTCTCCCGTGGAGACCACAGAGGGCCCGACAGAACCTCGTGGTCCTCCGGGTTCCTGAGACTTCCGGCAGGAAGCAGAGGAGCTAAACCGTCAGTGCTGGCTCTATCCGGTCGCTCATCAGCCTCCTACCACCCCGGGAAGCCGAACCCCAACCTGGAAGCATGTGACGAGGGACACCGCGGAGGCACGAGCAGGGACCAGCTCGATGCTGCCGGAGTAAAGAACGGAAACCTCTCCCACCCAGGAACCTCCGCAGGCCTCGCCCCCCCCCACGCCCGCACACACACTCCACTGCGACTGTTTGACACAAGTTGGGAGCTGGGTCCTAGCTGACTCCACCCGAGAAAGCCGAGTGCTGGGCGGCAGCTGTCCCAGGCCCAGCCCAGGGCGTCTGTCCGCATCTCACCCACTCCTGGGTCTCACTGGGGTCCGTGAGCAGAACAGGGAAAAGGGCTATAGCTTTTTTGTGTGGTTTTTTTTTTTTTCAGGATCCTGCCGGAGAGGAGGGGCCTGACTCCAGAGACAGCCCCACAAGCTCCGGGGGCAGAAGCAGTGATCACTGAACTCAGCTCTGCAAGCGGCATTTCAAGCATCTGCTGGCCTCAGCTCCACGGTCTGGCTCTGCTCTGGCTGGAGGTCCTAGTCAGGCCTCCCCCTGGAGGGCCTGGGGGAAGGGCACTTCGGGAGGCCAAGCCAGACTCCCAAGGCAACTCCGCCCCCGCACTGGGTGAGGTGGCAGCAAGGGTGCGAGTCTGTGGTGACTCAGTGGTTCGGTTTCTCCCCATGAGCTGGTGGGGGAGGGGCAGTGGACAGGACGCTGTCTCCCTGGGCAACGTTCCAGCTGCGTCTCCCACAGACAGGTCCCCTCTGACTCATCACCAGCCTTGGGGGCGGGGAGGGAGTGCACGCCCTGCCCCTCTCCCCTACTCTGCAGGCCCGACTGCTCCTCCTGAGTCAGCTCCACGGAGAGAGGCTGAGGCCAAGAAGCCGTGATCACACCCTACGGGCTGCAGCGCCACACGCAGCAGACTGCTCTGTACAAAGGCCGAGTCCTGACAAAGCTGGTCCAGCACGAGTGTCTGTGGGGCAGGCTGTGGCGTGGCACCTAAATCACCCTGCTCCCTGCACCCGATGCCAAGTTCATTACCATTTGCTTACGCATGGGAAGGGAGACCGCCTGGGCAGAGTTCTCCAGCTCGGCTGATAAAAACTGCTTTGAAGAGGTGGGCTTTGCGGGAACATGGGGCAGACAGAGAAAGCAGTCTACAGCCCTCCGAGTGCAGGGGGTGGTAAAAGGCTCCTGATCCAAACAGAAGCCTCGGTGGGATCACGAGCGCCCCTAGAGGCGAGGGGCGCAGGACTGAGTTCAGCACCCACAAGGAGAGCTGATGAGACCAGTGTCAGGTCCCAGCCAGGGCCTCTCCCAAGAAGTCTCTGCCCAGACTTAGATCACGACGGGCCTGGTTTCAGCAAGCGGCACACGTCCTCCTCATACGCGGGGAAATGAGAGTCACAAATTCTACCAACAAACTGCTGGAATTAATAAATTCAGTAAAGTGTCAGGATACAAAACCAAGAGGCGCAAACTAAACAGTACCCTAGATGCTGGGGTCCGTGTTACCTTGTAATTCCTGCAGGAAGGACAGCTTTTCTTCCCGCCCCCCCCCCACCGCCTCTGTCACAGGGCTCTATGTGGACGAGCTCAGTGACTGCCTGTTGAGAGCACGAATGCCGCATGGCAGGAGGCGTGGAAGGCCTACCAATTCCCTCGGTGTCTGGGGGACGAAGACCTTGAGAGACACGTCTTCGAAATGCCAGAGGGGTTTGGCGGGAACTCGGCGCTGGACTTCAGCGCGCAGGCTCTGGCAGGACGCTCTGTGCGCCCTCTCGCGCACATCTCCCGAGGAGCCGCAGAGGGCTCGGGTGTCCTGTTCTGCCTGCATCGAATAACCTAGGAGCGCCTGGGGGTGTGGCACCACCTTCCTTCCCTGGATCTAGTGTCCCACAACAGAGGGGCCAGGTTGGGAAGACGGTGGCTGGAGGAGCCGCCCTCAGGACCCAGGCACTCACGGAACACCTGCATCTCAGTGTGTCGCCCATACTGCCACCCGGGCAGGAGTCAGGTGCAAGGCAGAGGGACCGGGGACAAGCACGGAGTGAGCAAAGCCTCAAGGCCTCAGCGTTTCTGGCCCTAAGATGAGGACTGCAGAACACACACAGAGAGTAGCCCTGACGAGGGGCGCAGGGGTCACTGCCGCCGCTGTCACGCACACCGCTACAGGCCTGTCCCCAACAGGGCGCGCCCAACTCCGCGTGACCGCGCCGGATCGGGGTGGCTCTTGCTCTCCCTTCACGGCCCTGGGCTTCCCTGCCAAGCACAATCAGAAATGAAATGGTCCTTTCGAATTCTGGGAACACTGGGGCTCTGCCTCTGCGGGGTGGAGGCCTAGGTGGCCAAGGCCCAGGCTGTCCTCCCCCAAACGACTGACCGCCGGGACCCTGGGCAAGCAGACGCTGAGAAATACCCAAGACAGATCAGCTGGACGACTGGGAGCCCGGCCGGAACGTGAGGCCTGGTCTGCCACTCACTCGGTGAGAGACCGCAGGCAGACCGCCTACCCTCTCTCGGCCCGTCTGCCCGGCCCGTCTGCCTGCCCCACCATCTGCCGGTAGAGTAACGCCCGCCTCCTGGGGTCGTGGTGAGGACGGAATGTGAAGTACTCGACAGGATGCACATAAGTGCTCGATAAACATTAGCTCTTTTAGCTTCACTGTTATTAAATCATCATAAACACCAAATTTCCAGAGCGAGCGGCTCTGCAGTGCCCGCGGTCCCCGCCCGCCTTTTCCTTCCCCTATGCACTCCGACCTCCCTCCGGGTGAAGGCAGCCCCACTGCGGCCAAACATGGGTGGTCATGCGCCCCACAGAGGCAGATGCCGGCCCCAGGGCTATATGCATTTTCCAACAAGCGCAAATTCTTTCTTTTCTCCCTTCTTTCCCAAGCCGGGCTGGCGGCCAGGATGGGAGTGGGGCTGGTGGTGAGTCAGAGGGGGGACTGGGCACCATTGTCTGGCCGGGGCGCCAGGTCACTGACACTTGGCTGTCCGCTGGGCAACTTCCCCTGCTATCTGTCCAGACGTGGGATGGAAGGTGGGCGTAACCAATGACATGCTTCTCTCCTCCTCGCTCTGTACCCTAAGTGGACCCCCCAGCGGCTACTGCAGCTCCTTCTCCACACTGGGTCTGCCCGAGACTTACTCCCCCCGCTCAGACCGCATCCCTCTTTCCTCTGTGCTTCTCCCCAGTGATCTGGGAAAGACTGAGATGCCGTCCCTGTGCCCCGACCCCGTCCCCCGAGGAAGGCAGGTAGAAAGGGTCCTGCAGATGCCTCGGTGACAGGGAATGAACCACGCCCTCCCGAAAACAAAAAGCAGGGCCTTCCGGGCGTGGGGGAGAGGGTTTCACGAGGAGGGGTGCAGGAGGATGAAGGAGCTCCTAACGCCTCCCCTCCCAGCACACACCCGATTCACACACACACACGGTCCCTTCTCCCGCCCGTGGCTGCTGCTCTGACAGGTTCTGGCCGACATCCCCGGTTCTGAGTCAGGCTGGGCAGGGTCCCCGCCACAGGCCTTAGCAAGTGGGGTGCTAACGGAATGGCAGTGCAGCTTGGCAAAAACGTGGGGCAGGAAGGACTATCGGCCTTGCTATCAGCTTTGTGACCCGAGACAGTCACTGTATCTCTCTGGGTCTCCGAGCTCCTCCTCTGTAAAACGAGGCAGTCGGAATACGTGAATTCTAAGGTCTCTTTCCGTTCTCACATTCCACGCTTTTATCGGTGAAATGGAACAGAGAGGAGGAGAGAAAAGGACACAGTGACCCTACGGCAGATATCCTGTCTCCATGCCACCTTGCCCCTCTGACCCCCCAGGAATTTTACCTCGTCCTCATTCTCCACTTTGGGGTTGCTGGCTGTTCGTTTCAGGTTGCTGCTGAGACTTATGCTGGCGGTGGCGTCCGACTTAGAGCGCTGGTGAGTCCTCTTGGAGGGGGACAGCCCTGTGTCAGGGGCTGGGCTCGAGCAGGGCAGCTCCCGCTTTCGGTGAGCTGGCTTCAGCTCGTCGGACAGGATCAGCTTCCGCAGCTTGGTCCCACGGGAGTGTCGCTGAGTGGAAATGTGCATGTCTGAGGAGTAGGCCCCGAGCAGCAGGGCACACTGGAGGGAGAAGTCAATGCTCTGGCGGCAGCGGTGGACGATGTAGGGCTTGATGGCATCGCCCACGTCCTCGTCCATGTGGATGTACATGTTAAGCAGCTGGGGCAGGTAGAAGTCCACGTCCTCGTCGCGAAAGCAGAAGAGCCGGTTGCCGATGTAGGCTTGCACTCCGGGCTCCTTGGAGTTGTAGAGGTACGAGATGGCCATGGAGATGTCAAACAGTTTGGACTCGAACAGCCTCAGCAGCCAAGACTGTTTGGCCGAGTTGTTCTGCCGCCGCCTTCTTGCTCCCTTGGCTGTGCCCGAGGCCACGGTGGCCCCCACCTCATCTTCCTCCTCCCTTATCTGGGCAGGTGGATCGTCCAGGCAACGGATCTCACTGTCCACCCCCTCCCCATTGACCAGCTCCAGTGGGGTGCCTTTGCTACAGACGGTCACGCACCCGTGCGAAAGCCTGACCTTCTCCAGCACCTCCTGGCAGGCCTTCTGGGCCACCTCAGGGTCAATCACTGGTAGTTCCCCGACCCCCTCCGTGATGACGCTTAGCGAGGCGCCATTATTCCCCGGTGGCCCGGAAGTGGGCTCAGAAGTTGGCTCCAGGGGGGCAGGCTCCACGACCGTGTCTCCCATGGCCACAGCCAGACTTCGGGCTTCCAGGCTACAGGAGGGAGGAAGGAGAAAGGACAGGGAGGGAGACACATACACGCGCTGGTTAGTCAGTGGCACTGCCCTCAGGCCTCCCCTTCGCCATGAAACCTTCCCAGGCACCTCCTCTCTGTCTTCCTGGGCTCCTTTAAAAACTGATGAAAAGTGGGCGTGGGGGAAGAGGGGGGAGGTAGATGGGGTAAAGGGGGTCAAATATGTGGTGACAGAAAGAAATCTAACTATGGGAGGTGAACACACAGTGTACATATATATATATATGCCTTACTGTTAAAGTGTGCAGCCGAAACTTACTGGATTTAGTTAACCAATGTCACCATAAGAAAAATTAAAAACCAAACAAACAAACAAATAAACATGAAAAGTCACTCGCTGCCAGGAACCGTTCCCCGACCACCGCCACCTCTCCTCACTAACTGCTCTTCACTCCCCCTGCGTTAAGTTAACCAGCTTTGGCGCTGTTCCTAACCTGTATTTGCAAAATGTTGCTTTATATGTCTTATGTTTATATAAGTTTACAAATTCCTCAGGTAGACTGAAGCAAGTCGGGTCTTATTCCCTTGTCCTTACCTCTTCAAACACGTTTCTATCTTTGTGCCCGTCCCGGGTCTCCCTTTAAATGCCTGTCAATAACCTTTTTCTTTTCCTCTTTAAACTGTATTTCCTTACTCGTGATACTCCATGCACAGGTCCTGAGCATCTCACTTGTACTCAGTATTAAAGTCTTCATGTATTTTTCTAGTTACAGACACTTTCTTACATTCCCTTTCAGACTCAAAAGTCCCAAGGAATAAGGGCCAGCAAATACCAGGCCAGGCTCTAAAACCAGCATCAGCAGCCCAGCTGAAGTGCCATGTGTCTGACTCCGTGACATCGTCCCCTCTTCTCCAGTGCCGTGGCAGCTGGAGTAAAGCGGAAAGTGTACTGAACTTGGAGTCAGAAAGGCTGGGGTTCAAAATCCTGGCTCCGCCATCATGAGATGTGGAAATCTGTGCAAGCCACGCATCTTCTGAGTTTCGGTTTCCTCGACTGCAAAATGGGAAAGACATATCTATCTACTTCTCGCTGCTGCCATGTGGAATGGTAACTCCACGCGTGTATAAAGACCGTGGGCCCTGGGACACAGTAGCACTTGATAAATGCTAGTTGAATCCTAATCACCTAAAGGGTTAGTAAACAAGTATGTGTTTATAAGGGAACCGAGCTACAGGTACCTCACCGTCTGAAAAGCTCCCATGACATTTCTGACAGCCCTCGGCTACCCTAGCATTACTTTTCCCATTCTCGCACACACCCTGAGACCTGGGGGCTGTGAGAAGGCAGGACAAAATCAGGCTGGCACTCACGGGGCCAGAATGTCCGAAGTACAGGGGCACAGGAGTCGCACATCTAAGAATCCCTGTCCGGACGGACTCGCAGAAGGAAATTGCGTGAGAACGCTGCTAACAAAAGCTACTTCCCTCTCAGAATGATCCCGATCAGGAGAATCAGGGCAAACAGGAGGGCATCTCAAAGCAGAGGCCGGGAGGGGCACGCTGTCAATGCCAGGTCCACCCCTGGCCAGCGTTTGGCTGTGGTCAGCAACGGGCTCGGAGGCCTCCTCATGAAAAGGCGAATGGAGTGAGTCTGAGGCTACTGCAGAGCTGGGACGCTGTGAATTCCCACCCATCAGAGACATCGCCTTCGACCCTGGTGAAGCCGGGTGCACACGCTCTGGGTGGAAGGAGGCTCCAGATACGGGTTCTCTAGTCACTCTGGGGAACCCCATTTCCCACTGCCACCCTTCCAGTGTCCCTCACTGCCCCTCCGACGTGTTAAGAGTCAAGGTTACTTTCCTCTCCCCAATAGTGTGCAGTCTAGCTTCCCGCCTCCCAACAGCGTTCAAGTCTTGGAGGAAGACAGATGCGGACTCTTCTGTTCTCAGAGATCACCAAAAAAGGCCACTCTGCTTTGTCTCTCTCCCGACTCTGTCCAGCAAGAGCTCATCCTGAATTTAATGTCCCTGACGCAGCTTGAGCTTGGCACTGGTGAGAAAGGTGGCAACCCTTTCACTCTGCTCTCCCCAGATTACGCAGTGCCCGCTGAGCAGCAGAACCAGCATGGCTGCCCGTGTGGATCTGTCTCTACTCGCAACTATGGGTTGCACAGGAATAAGAAGGAAGCTTTACTCATCCCCCGCCACACCTTCATAGGGCAGTCTGCACCAGAAGGTCATTCTAATTCAACTGGGACCACTACCTTTTAGGTCTACCTGGCAACTCACACGGTAGCCTCGATCGTTTTATGCAAACAACTTTTTCCCCTCGATCTCTCCATGCTTGGTACGTTTTTCCCTGTTCCTCTGCTGCAAAGACTTCCAAGTCACCAAAAGCTCCTCAAACTCCACTTTTCAAAACTTCCATGGGAAATGAGGTTCAGATGCTCTCCCACCTACGGCATCTCAGACCTCACTAGGAGATGCAGCAGGTGTCTGCCCCATCTGGTCACACCTGCTGCCTTTCCCAGTGAAGAAGGGAGGTAGGGACACCATTTCTTTCATCCCAAGGCTCAGCTAAGAAGCCCCCATCACAGTATTCAGGGGACTTCTCCACGGAGCAGATGCCCCGTTTGGCAGCCCTTACTCCCCAGGGAACCACACTCCTCTCCTACACAGGCAGCTCTGCCACTAGAAACTGCCAAACTGGAGCTGGGCCTCCATCCTGGTGGCCTCTCTGAGCCTCGGGGACTGCCTGAAGCTGAAGCGAGACAGTGGGGAAATAGGTATTGAAGGAATTTAAGTTGTTTTGGCAATTTAGACAATAAAAAAAATAGGAAAAGGATTCTCTAAAACCCCAAATCCAGATATAGTCCCTAGTATTAACTCGTTCACTTTCAAATGCTAAGAAAATACAGCTTTGACAAGTAACATTCTAAAGAAAGTGAAAGAACTAGAAAGCGAAAGGAAAAGGAAGAGATCCTGTACTTATCACCCTTCTCCTCGTAAGTCAGAGAATAAGGAAAATAGTAAGAATCTAAACCTTCAATATGAAACGACTCCCACGGCTCTCAGAGACACTCAGACAACTGAGGCTGCACACTTCGCACGAGGAGCCTAACCTGGCCTCCCAGTGGGACTGCAGGGGACTGAAGAGGCCTCTCCCACCCCGGCCGAGCAGCTGGCTTCTAGGAAAGGGAGGTGGGAATGCTGACAACTGGCTGAACCCCATGGCTATGTCTGGGCAACGGAGGGAACCCTCATCTGAGCATCAGGGGTGTGCAGAGCAGAGCAGAGCAGCAGCTGTAGAGGACAGCGAGGGTGTTTGCAGGCACGTGTTCTGTGTGGCTTGAGCACTGAAGTGTCTGCAGAGGACCCTGCTTGGCGGGAAGGGCTGCTCTCACTTAGGCTGGCTTCCCGCTTCTCATCACTTCGAAAGATTCCAGGCCAACAGCCCTCCGCTGGCCTCCATTAAAGGCTTACTGGACCCGTCTCTGCTAGGACAGGATGGGCAAGAGCTCCGAATCAATCCCCTCAGCCAGCTCATCCCCGAATCTTTTCCACGAACTAGATAAATAGGAATAGGTTCAGACCAATCCTCGTGTTTTTATATGTTCCTGTACGCTCACAGAATCGCCTTTAGGAGATCATCTGATTTAGTGCTCTGCCTCCAAGCAGATAGGAAACCTCAATTTTCCTCCTCCCTTTAAAAAATCTCTTTGAGATGGATCATATGAGTTGGAAAAAAAGGAAGCTTAGCCAGCATCTTCATCCTACAAGGGGAGTAGTTAAGAGAGACTGTTAAAAGTTAATGGAAAAAAAGGGGGGGGGTTCGAATATGTTATTTAAGGTTTCCAGTAGAAATAAAAATGGCATAATCAGATAAACGGGCGGTATAAATCCTCTAAAGCTAAACCCTCTTCTGTAAAATTAATAAATTAAGAAATAGAGGCACAAGCATTTTCCCTAAAGCTATGGTGAAAACCTTCCAAAGTAACCAGCAAGTTGATTCAGAGGTTAACTCTGAAGGAGATGGGACGAGACTGTTGATTTTCATCATAAGCTCTTACGTACCTTTGGATTTGTTACCAGGTACGCATTTACCTTTAACAACAATTTTCAAAAAGACGTTGCTCTTCCAGAGACTCCACATGGCCCTGGGCTGCCTGCTCTGCCGTTAAGAAGTTCCCCCTCCGTCTTGAGGTCTAGTTCAAGCCTTGCTTTAAGGAGGTCGCAGCTCATCTTGCCCCCTTGACCTCAATGATAGAGATGGACACTGGGTGCTACTTTTTCTTTGTAGAAACGCAAGGCCTAGCAGGCTCACGCCCTACCAGGAACCAGGTAAATGCTCACCTAAAGCCCCGAGGTGGGTGTTGGCATCAGGAGAGAGGGAATTCTCAAGGTACCAGCAGGAGGGGAGGGAGGGCGGTGGTCTCAGGATAGCTAAGTCAATACTGAATCAGTCTGAGAACTGTCTGTGCGGGGCCACGGAGCTGGTCTAAGCAGATCCAGCCAGACAGCCCAAGCCAGCTCTGGGAGCCTCTGCTGAAACAGCCGGACGACAGGAAAAGCGACCTGTCTCCTCGCCTCTCTCTGAACTGCGCCTCCTGCTGCAAGCCACAAACGCACTTGGACGGGGCCCTCTCTTGTCTTGTGCCAATTACTGAAAAGTCCTTCCTAGACTCTTCCCCAAATGAAAGAACCTCAATTTGCTGCTTTGGATGGTGTTCAGCAAACATGTTCTCATGCACCACGCGGTGCGGACCCAGCTCTGAGAAGGCAGCAGGGAAACCAAGGCAATACGATTTCCCTTTGAGGGTGCTCCCGAGGAGCGAAGCCGCTCCTAGCAGGGGGCTTTGTGAGCAGACTGCACTCTGGTCAACGAGGAGGACAAGGGAGAAGGAAAAAGAGGGACCAGGTAGCGAGAAGACTTTCAAACAGGCCGAGGGGAGGAAGATGAATGGAACTCCTTGGGCCCTCGTCATTATCGCAGGCCAAGAGGGAGACATGGCACACAAGGGAGCAACCAGTTTTCTAAGTCCCAGCTCGCTCCACCTTCTCTTTTCCAGCCAGCTTCCTCGAAGGGCTTGCCCACAAACATACTTTCCACCCACGGAATCTGGAGTTATGGGTCAAGCGCTGCAGAAGGAACAGCACAGCAACTTGATGCTTGATGCAGCGGGACGACAAAGCACGGCAGGTGGAGGAAGTGGGCCTGGAGCTTGTCTCTCAAACGGACTTACCGCCCTGGGCGTAGACTTGAAAGACCCAACAGAGGGACCGAGACGGAGGAAAATTCTCAGGACAACTAAACCACTACTAATAAATACCTTTTGTCTGAGTGTTTATAGAGTGTTCTGTAAACAAACTGAGTTTATTTTTTCCCCCACAGCCCGCATCCTATTTGCCATTTACTGTACTGATGCCTATACAGTGGAGCATGTTCCCAAAAAGGTCACTCTAGAGGTCAAGTGAGGAAGTCACATATGGAACTCAGGAATCTCGACCTGACTGTACAAGCTCTTTCCATTATCTCGTGTTCCTTTTCCCAGTTACCCCCAAACTCCACCCCAGCCCCTAAGCTCATATGGCATCAACCAAAACTATTACAGTAAGCCACAGACAGTAAATTGATTCCTCTGGGATCTGGACAGGGGTGGGAAGACACTCTATTCTGTGATCCCTTTAAGACAAGCCTAAAATTACGTAATCCAAAACAAAATTTCTCACAGCCTCAGTCAGTTTCCACACAGGACTGTTCATCCCTCCTAGTGGCTGATCCTGAGTAGTCAACAAAGCGTAATCTGATAGGGACATCTTCAAAACTTGCTCCATCCTTCAGAAACACCCTTCTGCCAGAAAAGCCTGAGTGAGACAGCTGGGGCTCCCCCTCCTCCCGACACATTTTTTTCCTTAGTTCAAGGTTTAGCTGATCCTAAAATAAGTGGTATGTAGAGATAGAGTGGGGCAGAGAACACATACAGACCACAGGGAAGACAGGGCCAAGTGTCACAAGGGTGAGCAACATTCTGGAAACCTGATGGAGAAAGTGTCAAGGCTGGAAATCCAGAACGGAAGGGGCACTGTCAGATCTCTCTTCTATGGGAACAAACCTCCAGTGGCTGGGGAATAAGAAGGGGGAATCGGAAGCTAAAGAAACTTACCGGGATCGTAAAGCACTCCAGAGAAGGGGAAGGATTAAGGTCAAAGTAGAACGCACGTGATACCCTGGGAATGACGGCGAGATCCTAAGGAGAGGGGCACAGGCAATTCTTGGAAGCCAGGAGCTGGGTGGGGGGCGGTGAGGTAATGGAATCAGAAGCAGCAGAGGAAGAGAGGGCCGCAATCCTTAGCTCCGGGAACGAGAACCCAGTGCCGGGGATGCGCGGAGACGTCGGAGGGAAGGGGCAAAATGGAAAAAGGGATACAGGCGGAGGTCATGGGAAAGTTTTGGGGCAGGAGCGCAGACGACGAGGAAGGACAAACAAGGATGGACAGTGTAAGAGGCGTCCTGATGTGGAAAGAGTTCGTGACTTCAGAGACAATAATTCGGGACGGAGGCAGCAGGGATCAGGGCGAGGGAGGGGGGGAATCCCCGGGGTAGAGGGAGGAGCTAAGCAGAAGAGGAAGCCAAACAGCAGACGAGGACCCCGGGCTTGATTGGAAAGGGTGGAGGAGAGACCCGGGGTGCAGCTGCCGCCGCGGGGGGCAGTTCTGTAGTCGAACCCGGGTGTGGGGGCGGGGAGGCTGTGCGGGACAGGGAGGGAGAGGGACCCCCCCAGACACACACACGCACACGGCGAGGGGGACTCGCGGAGTGGGAGTCGCTTACCTCCGGGGGCCCCCGCGGAGGAGGTGCGGGCGGGCCGGGCCGGGCCGGGCTGCC